TTCAGTCATGATTCGGGATTTTACCAAACATTGGTTTCATGTCGAATATAATGGCCTTCGGTACTTAGATTCAACTAATAGAAAGAATTTTTGTTCATTCAAATTCGTAGAGGTACATTTGTTGTGAGAAGCATTAATTTGCGACTTTTGATTTATGATGAAAAATCGAATGTGGATTAACACTATTTGAGTATTTGATTGTGGAGTAATGCTATTTGACCCCACTAGAGTTGTAATCTCAATTTAGATGACGTTAATTTGGCTTTAAATGACAAATATATTTAAATGACTTATTTAATTTCACCTTTCATTTAGCCTATCATCTAGAGCTATCTAAATTGAGGTTGCAATTTCAATGGGTCTACATAACATTATTCGTGATTGTGACTTCTACATTCTGCTAAATATATATATTGTGACTTCTACATTCTTCAATTCATGACTGGAGTGAGTTGGTAATTTAAAATGTGACTTTAATAATCTTCACTCTGTTGAAATAATGCATTCCTTATTTGACCAACAAACTTAGTTGTACTTATTTTGTATCCGTGAAATATATTTCGATGACCTCAATATATTAATTTCTCATTGTGACCAACAGACTTATTTTGTGCTCATTTCAAGTTTAAAATGTAATTAGATTGTAACATCTGTTAGCCTCCGTTTGATCCCCATTAAGTTCAATTACATTACATTCAATTTTTCTCTCTCCTATTTTCAACCACACAATCTTTCATAAAATAATATTACACGTAAATCGAAAAATTTTCCTTTTTTTTTAACTACTCATTTTTCTACAAAATACTATTCTCCCATTTTCATTTTCAGGTAATAGGGGTCAAACGGGGACTAATCAGTTTTTTGAAGGCGACATACTTAGTTGTACTTATTTCATGTCTCTGCTCATTGTGTAGAATATGTTCAATGTGTGATCTCTGTTTATTCATTACTTATTTGTGATTTGAGGATTATTACTATTTATTTTGATCAGATGAGGAGGCTTTTGTCGCGTGTGAAGATTTTATTGTTCGACGTAGTTATGATCTCTATGTTTCTTGCATAACAGGTTGGTCTCTAATTAGAAAATATTTTGGTATGTATCTCTCCCGTAGTGAAGTAAAAGAGAATTAGTAAAGTTGAATGGACAAAGATAGTCTTGTAAGAATATTTTCAAGAGATTTTTTAAATACAAAATACTCTATATTTTTAGAGAGTCATTGCTTAAAAATGAGCTCCAAGAAACTCTTTATTTTAACTTTTTAAAATAGAGTGTGTTTGACTCTCCAAATTTAAAGAGTCAAACATATTCTCTATTCTCGATGTACAATAATTGCATTTAATATATTATAAATTTCAATACTCTACAATTTAAATTTTTCAAATTACATTTGAATTGATTGGTTACTAATATATAAAAAAATTATATTTCAATAAAATATGTGGAGAAATTATTAAATATTCATTGGAAAAAACAAAAAAAAATAAAAATAAAGAACTTGTTGAAGCGTATAAAAAAATTACTCTCTAAGTTTAAAGATGCTTTCTATTATGCATAAGACGCTATTTATAAATAGAGAGTTTTTTAGAGATGCTCTAAATAAGATAAAATCCGAAACTTTCAAGAAGATTGGAGTGTACATTGGTAGATTCATTGCTATATAGAGAGTTTATATTCTCATTTTTTTTACTTATTCATTAATGAAATACAAGTTTCAGCAAAAATATGTATTTACGCATCTCTTTTCTCGTATATCTACGACAAAATTTCCATACCCATTTTCATATGAAATTAAATAAACAGAAGTCACGTCAATAAAAGTTCATTAACTTGACATTTTTCTTTGTGTTGTAAATGGTAAATTTATTAGTGGATGACAATTTTACTCCTACAACTCTAAAAATTATTATTATTCTATTTTTAATCATTCTCCATAAATATGGGACTTTGATTTTCATTATAATACATTCAATTTTATTGACTTTTCTAATTTCTTCTCTTTTATTTCTAGTTTATAACACTTTATTTACTAATTAACAATTGTGTTAAAAAATTTAAATTTGATATATTTAGTTACAATCTCTTTAACTTTTATCCTATTTATAAAATGCCCATCCTTGAATAGCCTAGATGAAATTTATGTTTGGCTAAGCTTATAAAACTTACTTTCAAGTGAAATTTATTTTGAATAAATAGTAATGTCAATTTGAAATAAGTTGTTTATTATGATAGTAATACACACCTAACTATTTTACTTACAAGTAAGAACGAATTAATCCTTTCAAATACATTTCATAAATCAAAATTCACTTAATAGAAATGCAGCTTAAACTTAAACTTAGTCAAACATGCTCGAAGTTCAAAGTCTAGCAAATATATTTTAGAGCCAGTTACTTGATTGCTTACATAATCAATTATTGTTGCTCAACCCAAATGTGCTAGATTTTTTAACATAAAAGACTAAATTTAGTGAGAACAAGACTTTATATTTTATTTGTAGTTGTGTCTACATGCTCTTGTTGTCTCGATGTTTGCCTTGATCTAAATAGCCCTGTGGACTAAAAACTATACAATGTCAAACAAAATATATACACTTAAAAGTTACCATGGACCCGGTGGGGGTCAGGATGAGCAATAAAAAAACTTCAGTAGAAATGAACTGTTAAATTCAGCACAAAACTGCATTATACTACAAATATTTGTAGCAAAACTTCAGGCTTTGCATAAGCCAAAAATATGAACCATGAAAGGTTATACCAGTCTGCAACAGAAAAACCATTAAATATATTACTCACTGCTTGAGCAAAGTACCAATGTACAAACAATCTTAACTATGTCTAGATGCTGAAAGTACTACAAAATAACAATTTTCGAGCCTGGGCACATGGTTAACAATTGCACATTTTCATTCTGCACCAGGCAGTTTCGGAACTAAGATCATTCTGATTGTATGCCTTCCTAAACATGTTATAAGTTCAAAAAGCTGAATAAATGAAATGAAGATAACACCAGAATTTTTTAAAGGCTCTGAAGAAGTTTGTAACTAGTTATTGTTACATGTTAAGCCAAATGAAGGGATCCATAACAAGCCACATGATGATGTAGAAGTCAAAAGTTAATCCCAACATAATTTTGCATGCCACAAATAAAGCACATTACCCTTCCATTATTCTAAAAGAAATAAGTGGCAAGATAGGAAAGAATTGATTGAGATCTTCGTCAATGTTACAATACTTAGCCCCAAAGAAGCATACATATGAGAGGAGAAGTTATCATAATAATGTAAGTAATCATGCATTTAGAGAGGCATGAATGCTGCATAGAGGTTTAGGTTTTACCTGAATTGACCTACAAAGCTTTAAGAAGAATGCCACTGTAAGACAAATTTATAATTGATGGCCCCTTCATCTGGGACACCATCAAAATGTATTACTAATACACCGCCATCTCAAAAAGGTCCTGTAAAAGACAAATTATCATACGACAGCATAGTGCACACTATTCTTAGCAAAACTGTATTGAAAAGATAACGCACAACATCCCTATGCTTACATCATCACATGTCTATATGAGCAGTATAGAAAGCAGGAAATTGTATCCATGCAAAAGTCTAAACATGTAAAGTAAAATAAATACAGCTTGGGGAGCACTTGCAGGTTACTAAGCACAAATTTATATTTAATTTTAAAGAGGAAACTTCAGAAGTCATGCATATCACAGAAATTTCCTTCTATTATGGATTACTTGCCATTAATTGTTAAGTCATAAAATTTAGCTCCAGTTATTATAATTTCTAGATAAGTTCAAACTTTTCCGAATTAAAATTTGAAGAAAACACACCCTATTCTGATCATTTACAAAGTGAGAACCTGAAAATATATTTCAATTAACTCATGCAAAAGATGCATCAGAAAAACAAATAATTAGCTGCATGTTCATAGCTCCTATAAGAGTGAAAATTAAGACTTGAATGGCTTTAAAGAGAACAAGAGATGAAGCATACAGGAATCTCCTCAAAGATATCCACCCATGAAAGATTCTTATCCCTCAACCTGAGAAATAAAACCTTATTAGATAATTAAATAAGTTATAATCCTCTAAGGACTAATCAAAGAAACATTCAAACAAATGAATCCTTTTGGCCATTTTTGAAAGGAGAAAAGTAAGAAAAGTAAAGCATACTTTTCACCAGTGAAGTTATTATTTTTATAAAGATCCATGAATGAATCAGAAAGCTTCAAAGCCTTTAAAGCTAGGACGCCTTGATTGGATCTTGATGGATCGTAAACAATACAAACACATCGCCTAATATTCTCCTGCGACCAGAAGAAATAACAGAAGTAAGGCACATAAAAACTAACAATATGGTGAAATTGCACGCGTACTGTACTGCTGCATTCGATGTCAGATTGGTGAGAATTTTTCAGAGCCAACTGGCTGTTCCAAATTATGCAGCCTCGCACGTAATGTCTCAAATAGCATAGCAAGCAACTAAGAACATGCAGTATACAACCAACACAAAATTTAAAGGATAAAGGAGAGTTTTCAAATGCATTGATGATCAAGCCTACAACCATCTGTATATCTCTAGATATGATTTGGATAATGAGAAAAGGAATTTCAGTAATCAAATATTAAGAATGTGCTTCAAGCCTTCAACCACCTAAAAAGTCACTAAAAACATGTATCAGATCATTTGCTAGAAAGCCTAGATGTAAAGGCTCTTGGCTGATCAACTAAATTTGTGATGCTCAAAACCAAAAATCATTTAAATTTCTTTGCATCCCAAAACTAAATTTAGAGGCCTCTGAAGAAGAGGGTCTGAATCTCAAACAAGAGAGGTCGCCAAGGGCAATCAATATCTAATCAAAGCATTTCAGTCAAGCCTTCAAAAATTATTATCACTACTAGTAAGAAAAAATCGTTGTGTATGATTTGTCCCTTCTAGGGTTGGACCAGAAAAGTACAAGAAAATGCAAATGATAAAGCAAAAGGTAGAAATATATTACCTGATAGTTCATGAAAGTCTCTATGAGTTCCACTGTCTGAAAAGAGCCAAATAAAGTTGATTGATACCTGGAAAAGTTGAGTTGAAAAATGTAGTCGGTAATAAAATGAATGTTAAAATAAGCAACTCATTTATTAAGCAAAATATTTGTCACCGTTAATCAAACAGAAGATTTAATGTGGACCAGCAGCTACAGCATTTCTTTTAAGAAATGTTTGACAAGACAAAACAAGAAGAAGAACAAACTAAGCATTAATCCCAGTAGCCGACACTAATACTTTTTTACCACTGTGCAATCCACTAAATGATCCAAGCATTATTACTCCCAAAAAATTTGGGGTAGCCAACACGGATCTTTTCTCACCACAAATCATTTTTGACCACTGTGTTCGGTTCATAATTACGCCCACTAGAAGATCTTGCATCACCCTTATTGACAATGCCTCCTCAAGTCTGGACGATACATGCCCAAACCAATGTTTAAAAAAGATTAATCAAGCACCAAATCTATAACGACCCTGCCTCTATGCCCAACCTGTTAACTCACGTTCTATTAGCTCTGAATGGACATCTGCCCACTTAGCCACTCATGAATTTCTATCACGTTCCTAGGATTCTTTCCCTTAAGAGAAACTTAAGTTAAATCCTTATACAAATTCATCTGCCCACTTTGTCGCTCGAGAATTTCTATTGCGTCCCCCGAATTCAAACCGATGATCTTTTCCTTAAGAGAGAGATTTAACTTGAATTCTAGCAATGTCCATCCAAAATAGACAGTACGTAAGTTAACAACTTGAGTACAGAGATCGGGTCATCACAAAGACATTTTACCTAGGTGAGGCAAGAGAAAAGTCTCAAGGCATTTTATGGCGTTAGCCTCAAGACAAACTAACTAAATAATTAAAAAAATATACAAAAATATAAATATAAGCTCATAATAAACTATCTTTATAAATCTATAATAGAACAAATTAAGCCTTTCCATGTAGAGGAACAATAAAATTGGAAAAGATTAAATCATTTTAGGTTATAAAAAGTAGCCCAAAAGGTTAAAGACTAAAGGTAAGACAAATGGGTGAACACCTTAGTCTCCACGAGACTTAGCCTCCGTTAGACAAATTTATAAATTGTTCATAAATATGAATAGTAAGAGTAATAGTAGTAGATCCTACAAAATTGTGGGTAATAATGAGTAATAGTTATTATTGTGTGACTGATAAAATGTTGATCGAATTTCTAAACCATTTATAAATTGCTTGCCAAATGGAGGCTTAATCTCAAAGCATAAACCTCATTAGGTCAAGGCATAAGCACAAATGGTATTAAAAGCAAAAGCTTTAAGACGTTTAATAAAAGCCTCACAAGAGGTGGGATACAAGACATAAACCTCAAAGGCTTTTATAAACCATGGCCATACTACATGAGTCATCATTCCGTTCCTTAATTAGTGCCCCGAGAACTTGTTGGTTTAGTAAATTTACCATAATTAGTATTAGATTACCTCTATATACATCAGTTGCAGGTTTATGATCCACATTTGACCACGAGATCTATGCAGTCCGTATGTTTTAAAGAATTCTAAGTCCTAAATGTGCTAATAAAAAATACTCAGATTCCGAGTGAGAAAATTGAAGTACCTCGATTGACCTTAATTTAGAGCTTCCATATTCTGGTTGCGCCAAGTTCTATAAAGTTTTAGCCCATCCCATATGAGATGCTCGTGTCAATACCAGCTATAGGATTACATGACATAATGTGAAAAACTAACTTGTATATCATTTATATATGCAATTCTTAATATAATGTCTATGATGCATTGACACGGACACGTGTGTCTGAAATGATTCGTGTTGGATACGTCGATACGCAATTTTTCAAAAAAGTAACGACATGACACGTCGTTGACACGCTGATTAAAATTTTTAAAATTCTTCATTTAAATAGTATAAAATTAATTTTATACTTGTTATTAATTTTTCTTGTTGAAATCTTTTAAATATGAATAACTATTTGTTATTTACGTATAATTTTGAGTTAAAAATATATAATATTTTTTAATAAAAAAGATAAAATATTTATGGTAGAGTGTCCGAGGAGTGTTGATATCTACACGCGTCCCACGCATCCACGCTACCCTAGTTGAAGTGTCCATACTACAAAGTATAATGCATTTGTTCCCAGATCAAGATAGTTTCTACCCCCATTTTGCACAATTAGCTCCACAATCACATGTAACTCAGCCGTTCTATACATGCTCCAGCAACCTCTGATCATAGTAGTTTCCAAAAATTTGAATTCAAGGGTCCAATGCCACATAGATCACAAACGAGGATTTTTTAACTTCATCTTAATTTGTTGTATTAATTACTCACTCAGACCCCCTGCCAAGTTCTTTCCAATCACAAAATGATGGCTATTGCAGACATTTTCAGCCTATTCAGAGATAAACACGGATTCATTAGGAACTACTTTCATTGTTTTTGATCCTTAGAATAATTGCTTATATATTGGTGATTGGATAAATTTCTGATTCGCTGATTGGAAAGATTGACTCTTCCAAAATACTTCCCCTGTCCAAAACTAAATCATGGCATCACTTCACAATTATTTAAGTAAAAATTATCAATCAGCGTTTTATGTAATTTTTCCATTTATCCTGGAGTGACATAGACCCCATCAGCTAAATATGAAGAGCGCTCCCAAATCGCTTCAATAGTTAATAGCTTTTCCAGCTTTGATCGGTCTAGTTTACACCCTTACATTGGTTTGTTGAACAGATAGTTCTAAGGTTGAATGTCACTCATAAAACATGTCATAGACCTATGGATTGAATTATTACAAGTCAAATTCTAAAGCACATTAGTGTGTCGTAAAGAGAAAATCAATACTCAACACTAATTTTCCAGACATTATTATAGCTACTCTATTATCAAAATTTATTTATTTATTTATTTATTTATTTTTATTTTTTTTGTACATTTACAAGAAAATACTGATGTCCATTATGAGAAGATACAGATATACACGTATTCATGTGTATGGGCAGGGGAGAAATGGGTGATGGGAAGATGACTCACCATCCAACAGTGTTATTGTCGACATTAACCTCTCTCAAGCACCTCATCATTTCAAGCTGATAATTAGCACCTTCTGCTTCAATCTCTTCATCTTCCTCTCGAATCTGTAAAATAAGATTCAACCACTTGTTACAAAGCAAAACAACAGTGACCAAATTTTCTGATCTAAATCAAGATTTTGATTGAGCCCTTGTTTTGTGGGGATTAAAATCATATTTTTAGTAAATTTTGATAAATATACATGAAATGTGTGGTTAAAAATTGCGGGTCCCATAAAAATGTGTGGTTAAAATTAATTGTTGGCTTTGATTTAAATTAAAATCTTGATTTAAATTCCTACCAAATAAGAGCTAAACAAACAATGGAAATGTCTCAGAGTATTGTATACCGGGAATGGGAAACAGTTAGTAACTTCGAGAACACTACCAACATCCAACCCTAGTAGTTGTCCTGTAACCAAAGCTGGAGAAAATTCTTGGCAATGCTTTATTATCTTCAAAATAACCTGTACAAAGTAACTCATAACAAGAAAATTTTAAGAAAAACTTCATCATCTTGTCATTACTCATTCTCTTTTAGAACTTTTCCAATAGATCATAGTACAAGAAGAAAAAAAATCTCAAAATGGCAAAATAACAAAGGAGTACAACCAGTAGAGCGGTTTAGCTATGAATTAAACAGAGATAAAAATAGTATTTAAAGACAGAGAAACTAAATTTAAAAAATTTAAAATTTCAAAAGAAACGCACTGCGCAATTCTTCATTGCATAAGAACTGACACAGAATGCATAGGATTTAAAGTCCAAAATCCCAAAAGAATTGCGGTTTGCTTCTTCACAAACATTGAAAGACCATAACAAAGAAGAATTACTAGAATAGGAGCAACCAGGAACTATTTTTTCAACCATCAACAATATGTAATCATGTCGAATGAAATCGTTGCTCTTTAAAATCGTGAACAGGAAGTACATTTCTTCTTCTATTTTTTTTATTTTTTATTTTTGGGAAAACAATTACGTCAAGCATATCCTTAAGCACAAATAGTTACAGTGGTGTACCAGTCCTTCGATCTGAACCACTCTGAGGGGCGGGGCGACCTCCTCCGTAGCTGCTACTTGCAAAAATGACCGTGATTGTGCAGCCATGGTGTGCTTGCCTAAAGAGAGAGTTGAAGGGTTTTGATGGGATATGCCTGTGCTGAAGAATGTAACGAAATCAATGGCGATACGGAGAAAAGCCCTAGCGATTGTTGGAACAGCGGCTGTATGGGCTGGGCCTAAGTATTTTGGGCTCGAAAGTTTCTTCGTGATGGGCTTTTATGGACCATAAATAACAAACAAACAAGCTGAAAGGCCCAGTTGGAAACTTTCAAAATATTTTACATAGAAATGTTTTAAAATACATTTTTAAAAGTAACAAATTTGTAAAAAATAAATAAATAAATAAATAAATAAAATCAAGTAGTCACATTTTGCGGCCTTTATAAAATATTGTAGCCTATAATTTAATTAAACTGGTCTCAACCACAAAAACACCCAATTTATAGTTAAGATCACATACTAATCACAAATAACATAAGATTATAGTTACAAAAATAATTTTTAAATCACAATCATGTAATTTAGTTGCAAATTACATACTTAATAGTTAACAAATTATTTATTAATCACAAATTATTCAATTTCCTGATCATAATCACTCCTCATCCCATATCACCCTACCTCATCCCATCACATCCCACCCCACTTTACCATCGTCGGCACTATCCAAAATGTAGTTGCTTTCTTAAATCTACAACCACTGTCACCACCACCTTCACCTTAAATCCACGGCCACCACCTCCATCGCCTTCTTGTTCCAAATCTTCTTTAAGATCCCCAGAGGCACCTCTCAAATCCTCACTTATGATGGCCTACGTTATAGCAATTTCATATCTTCCACTTTCTCAAGCGTTGCTGTAGCTCAAGCCTTTGTCACTAGTTGAGTTGTTTAAGTTTCAGAAAGAATCTAATGAGACTCTACCTACACCTTACTCCACTGTCCTAATTGTTAGCGTTCGAGGACGAGTGACGGATGTTTCACCTTATGAGAAGCTAATCATGGCTAGCCATTTTCTGCAATATGGGTGTGGAATATGGGGGAGTGGGGGTTGACACCTGATTTTTGAAAGAAAATTCATATAATCTGATTGTTGAACTGAAATTTTTAAAAAGAAGTGTAATTGTAAGCTTCCTAAGTTTAGAATTTATGAAAAATAATTCATAAATATCATACTTAAATTAAAGGTTATTATATGAGAATCGAGATTATTCTATCTCACCTTATTACTTACAAAAATAAAAACCAATCAATCTCTCACCTTTGATCAAAACAAAAAGAAATTGTACAATTTCATCACTCATTGGAAAATCAACTCGTTGGTCTCTGAATTTGGACACAAATTGCTCAACTTCATCTTTCCAAAAATTGAATGACTTCATCTCTCATTTGCAAATTGTTGATGGTCATTTACAAGCAATATTCCAATCAAGAACAAAGAGTACAAAAGGATTTTCCAGCATTGACGAACCTATTTTCAGTCATGATTCGGGATTTTACCAAACATTGGTTTCATGTCGAATATAATGGCCTTCGGTACTTAGATTCAACTAATAGAATGAATTTTTGTTCATTGGAATTCGTAGAGGTACATTTGTTGTGAGAAGCATTAATTTGCGACTATTGATTTATGATGAAAAATCGAATGTGGATTAACACTATTTGAGTATTTGATTGTGGAGTAATGCTATTTGACTCCACTGGGGTTGTAATATCAATTTAGATGGCTTTAATGTGGTGTTAAGACAAATATAATTAAATGACTTATTTAATTTCATATTTCATTTAACCTATCATCTAAAGCTATCTAAATTGGGGTTGCAACTTCAATGGAACTACATAACATTATTGTGACTTCTACATTCTGCTAAATATATATTGTGACTTCTACATTCTTCAATTCATGAATGTAGTGAGTTGGTAATTTAAAATGTGACTTTAATAATCTTCACTCTGTTGAAATAATGCATTCCTTATTTGACCAACAAACTCAGTTGTACTTATTTTGTATCCGTGAAATATATTTCGATGACCTCAATATATTAATTACTCATTGTGACCAACAGACTTATTTTGTGCTCATTTCAAGTTTAAAATGTAATTAGATTGTAACATCTGTTAGCCCCCGTTTGATCCCCATTAAGTTCAATTACATTACATTCCATTTTTTTCTCTCCTATTTTCAACCACATAATCTTTCATAAAATAATATTACACGTAAATCGAAAAATTTTCCTTTTTTTTCAACCACTCATTTTTCTACAAAATACTATTCCCCCATTTTCATTTTCAGGTAATGGAGGTCAAACGGGGGCTAATCAGTTTTTTGAAGGCGACATACTTAGTTGTGCTTATTTCATGTTTCTGCTCATTGTGTAGAATATATTCAATGTGTGATCTCTGTTTATTCATTACTTATTTGTGATTTGAGGCTTATTACTATTTATTTTGATCAGATGAGGAGGTTTTTGTCACGTGTGAAGATTTTATTGTTCGACGTAGTTATGATCTCTATGTTTCTTGCATAACAGGTTGGTCTCTAATTAGAAAATATTGTGGTATGTATCTCTCTCATACTGAGGTAACATAGAATTAGAAAAGTTGAATGGACAAAGATGGTCTTGTAAGAATATTTTCAAAAGACTCTTTAAATATAAAATATTTCATATTTTTAGAGTGTCATTACTTAAAAATGAGTTTCAAGAGACTCTCTATTTTAACTTTTTAAAATAGAGTGTGTTTGACTCTCCAAATTTAAAGAATCAAACATATTCTCCATTCTTAATATACAATAATTACATTTAATACATTACAAATTTCAATACTCTACAATTTAAATTTTTCAAATTACATTTGAATTGATTGATCATTAATATATAAAAATTATATTTAAATAAAATATGTGGAGAAATTATTAAATGTTCATTGGAAAAAAAAGACTCAAAATAGAGAAATTTTTGAAGTGTATAAAAAAAATTACTCTCTAAATTTAAAGATGTTATGCATAAGATGCTCTTTATAAATAGAAAGTCTTTTAAAGGTACTCTAAATAAGATAAATTCTAAAACTTTCATGAGGATTGGAGTGTATATTGGTAGATTCATTGTTAGATAGAGTTTTTATATTCTCAATTTTTTTTTTTTACTTATTTATTAATGAAATACAAGTTTCAGCAACAATTTGTATTTATGCACGTCCTTTTTCGTATATCTACAACAAAATTTCCATACCCATTTTCATATGAAATTAAATAAACAGAGGTCACGTCAATAAAAATTCATTAACTTGACATTTTCCTTTGTGTTGTAAATGACAAATTTATTAGTGAATGACAATTGTACTCCTACAACTTTAAAAATTATTACTATTGTATTTTTAATCATTCTCCATAAATATGGGACTTTGATTTTCATTATAATACATACAATTTTATTGATTTTTCTAATTTCTTCTCTTTTATTTCTAGTTTATAACACTTTATTTACTAATTAACAATTGTGTTAAAATTTTTAAATTTGATATATTTAGCTACCAAATCTACAACCTCTTTAACTTTTATCCTAATTATAAAATGCCCGTCCTTGAATAGCCTAGATGAAATTTATGTTTGGCTAAGCTTATAAAACTTACTTTCAAGTGAAATTTATTATGGATTAAATAGTAATGTCAATTTGAAATATGTTGTTTATTATGATAGTAATGCACACCTAACTATTTTACTAACAAGTCAAAACGAATTAATCCTTTCAAATACATTTCATAAATCAAAATTCACTTAATAGAAATGCAGCTTACACTTAAACTTAGTCAAACATGCTTGAAGTTCAGAGTCTAGCAAACATATTTTAGAGCCAGTTACTTGATTGCTCACATAATCAATTATTGTTAACATAAAAGACTAAATTTAGTGAGAACAAGACTTTATATTTTATTTGTAGTTGTGTCTACATGCTCTTGTTGTCTCGACGTTTGCCTTGATCTAAATAGCCCTGTGGACTATAAACTATATAATGTCAAACAAAATATATACACTTACAAGTTACCATGGACCCGGTGGGGGTCAGGATGAGCAATAAAAAAACTTCAGTAGAAATGAACTGTTAAATTCAGCACAAAACTGCATCATACTACAAATATTTGTAGCAAAACTTCAGGCTTTGCATAAGCCAAAAATATGAACCATGAAAGGTTATACCAGTCTGCAACAGAAAAACCATTAAATATATTACTCACTGCTTGAGCAAAGTACCAATGTACAAACAATCTTAACTATGTCTAGATGCTGAAAGTACTACAAAATAACAATTTTCGAGCCTGGGCACATGGTTAACAATTGCACATTTTCATTCTGCACCAGGCAGTTTCGGAACTAAGATCATTCTGATTGTATGCCTTCCTAAACATGTTATAAGTTCAAAAAGCTGAATAAATGAAATGAAGATAACACCAGAATTTTTTAAAGGCTCTGAAGAAGTTTGTAACTAGTTATTGTTACATGTTAAGCCAAATGAAGGGATCCATAACAAACCACATGATGATGTAGAAGTCAAAAGTTAATCCCAACATAATTTTGCATGCCACAAATAAAGCACATTACCCTTCCATTATTCTAAAAGAAATAAGTGGCAAGATAGGAAAGAATTGATTGAGATCTTCGTCAATGTTACAATACTTAGCCCCAAAGAAGCATACATATGAGAGGAGAAGTTATCATAATAATGTAAGTAATCATGCATTTAGAGAGGCATGAATGCTGCATAGAGGTTTAGGTTTTACCTGAATTGACCTACAAAGCTTTAAGAAGAATGCCACTGTAAGACAAATTTATAATTGATGGCCCCTTCATCTGTTGAACCCATATGTAATGTAACTAGGCGAGTGTCAAGCCTGTCCAGAAGTTGGGTTGAGTTCTGGTGACTCAGCACCAAAACTCCAAAGTTGTTTCAGCTCATGTCTTACCAAACCCAATATGACACAAAGTCCTGAGATTTACAGTTGAAGATGAGGGTTAAAACTCCAAATACAGAAAAATATATGAATTTGTTGAACTACCTCATTTAAAAGCTTGAGCTATTAGAGAAAACATTTATTTATTTAATTTTTTTTAAAGCTATTAGAGATCACATATATTTATTTAATTTTTTTTCAACATGCCCCCCTTACGTGTAGGACGAATTGATAATTTTCCGTTTCTATCAAAGGCCTAGCAAGCCTGACATGTAAACAATTTTCATATATGGTGGCGGCAATACTTAAACTCATGACTTTTGCCTACTCTAATGTCGTGTTAAAACACCTCATCTAAAAGTTTAAACTAATAGAGAGAGAACACATTTATTTGTTTATTTAAATTTAGTCTTAAACAGAACTCGTTATCAGAAAAGATTGTCCAAATAGCAGTCCAAAATTCATACCTAGCGTACATGGAACAAGATAGAGGAGAGCGGGCTGTCCATGCCCATTCATTAGATACAGGCCGAGATATGTGAAAAATAGACCTGCAGTAACCATTACCAATGTCACTGAGAAACTACATTGAGCAATACCATTTTTGTCATCAAATGCTCTATGAACCAAGAAACATATTTGAATATTGATCAAGCAAAGAAAATAACAATGGACAGTAATGTAAATTATTTAACAAACACTAGTATACTCTATGAATAATGTTAGATAAAAACAAGACCAAATCTTCCATGTATAAGTAAAAAGTAAAAAACCATCTTTAAGGTAGACATTTTACACTGTATTATTATTATTATTATTATTTTTAAAGGTAATAAAAATTTTTATTAATCAATGCATAATACATAGGAAGTGTATTATCAATTTATCCAAGAAAGGAACAACAAGAAATTGGACAGCCCGTTTATGTGCTTTAGCAAATGCACCATAAAGCAAAGTATAAAATGTCAAATAAAACAATTCTCTAATTTGCATAGTTGTCCATGTTTGATCATCAAAACAACGGATGTTTCTCTCTCTACACATACCATACGATGCAACCCGGGATAAGGTCTTACACAAGCATGCTATCCTTATCGCGAAACATTCTCCTCCATGCCTTTAACACGTCTTTTATATGCCTCGACAATACCCAATCCATGTGTTGTGACGCCAAAATATCATTCCACGGTAAACTAGTAGTATCACAATGAAGGAACAAGTGGTCAATCGTCTCCCCATCCTTCCTACATATATAGCAACAGTCTGTAACATAAAAACCCATTGTTCGAAGATTATCCACCATTAACAACTTTTTCCTAATCACCATCCATAGTAAAAATACCACCCATGGAGGCTGTTTACATTTTCATACCATCTTCCAGGGGAATGCGCTCTCCAAAGGTCCCAATAAGGATCTAAAATAAGTGCCAACTGAAAAAAATGCCGTCCTGTGTTAACATTTACCTGTTACAATCATCCTCTTCTGCCCTAATGTGTACCTCGTACAAAGATGTCAAAAGCAATGCAAAATCATCCAATTTCCGCAAACTCCAGCTAAAGACAATGTTCCAATTGAGACTCCCATTATATATATCTAAGACATCATTCACCATGGCAGATAGCACCAACACAATACTATACAGAAAAGGAAATCTCGTCTATAGCGGTTGATCTCCACACCAACAATCGCCCTAAAAACTGATGGTATTATCATTCCTCACTACAAAAGTCAATCTAACCTGAAAATTGCTCTACCCTCGCCGAATGTACAGCCACAATCCACCCCATAAAAACCACGATTCTCGACTGAATACCATCTCCCTCTATAACACCATATTTTGCCCCTATAATCTCTCTTCAAAAACTCTCCCTCTCCACTCCAAATCGCCACAACCACTTACCCAGTAAGACTTTATTAAACAGTATGAGACTCCTTAGTTCGAGACCACCCAACCTTATGGGAGAACAAACTACGCCCCAATTAACCAAATGTAATTTTCTCTTTTCCTCTAATCTTCCCCAAAGAAACTTCCTTTGGATCCTCTCTAATCTTTTTGCCATTGCCGCATGAATAGGAAACAATGATAAAAAATAAGTAGGGAGATTCGATAAAGTGGACTTTTTGTGAGAGTAAGTCGGCCTCCCTTTGTGAGATACATACGCTTCCAACCTGCTAACCTTTTCTCCACCCTTTCCACGATACTTTTCCAAATATGTATCTTTTAAATTGTGCTCCTAGAGAAAGCTCAAGATATGTCATAGGCAGTTGCTCAACCCTGCAACCCAATATAGCAGCCAACTCCTCTACGTTATTGACCTCCCATACTATGATAGCTTGAGATTCCCCAAATTTATCTTCAATCCAGATACGGCTTCAAAGTACAGGAGCAAATGACGTAGGTTCATGAATTGCTCAACGTCTGCATCACAAAAGATCAATGTATTATCTATAATTACCAAATGAGATGCGTGCACCTACTCAACCATAAAGCCCCCCAACAAATTCTTCCCCACCGCCTTCTCAAGCATCCTACCGAACGCCTCCATTATAATGATAAATAGCAAAGGAGACAAAGGATCCCCTTTCCTCAATCGTCTGCTACTATGAAAATAACCCTTCGGAGTACCATTCACCATAATTGAGAAAGAAACTATAGATATACAATACTGAATCCATCGGCACCACTTATCCCCGAAGCCACATCACCTAATTGTAGTTGATTGTACATTTCAAGTGTCCATCTAAAAACAAAACTTGAAGCATGAGCGAATGTAAAATATAGAGAAATAATTAGAAAGTTAATATAGGCACCGTATCTAAAATGACATGTGACCAACTACCAAGTGCATGTTTATGGCAAGACCACAATGATTTACACAAAACTCACTCTGTAGCTTCTCCAAATCTATAATAAGACTCATCATAATACAAATTTTATCTATTACTTTACTATGTGAGTTCGTATAACAAATTAAGGGCACTCCTCAATCCATTCAAATCACTTACTTTTCCTTCATTTATTTTTTCTTCATATTGGTAGAGCATCTGCTCCCAGAATTGTCTGATGCTAGATGGCAGAAATGGATTAGAAAATTAGAGATCTGAGACATCCCTTTTTCTTTGGTAACACTCTCTTTATCAGTTCCATTATCCTATAAACCATCATAATTGAGTTATTGGCTTTCTTTTTAACAAACTTTCACCGACTCTCAGAAATTTACCGAACCTCTGAATCTCCTCACAACAACTAATGCAAGACAACTTTTATCTTGAATTGTTGGAAGGTTTTATATTATATTTCAAATTGGTTACAGAGTCAACAAAAAAAGATTGCAAGAGTTAGACTTTGGCATCACAAGTTTTCTGGTCGAAATCAAAGGCCGTAAACTTTCTATTCGGTGCTATTACAGTATCTGTGAATATATTGAAAAGTTTCCAGCGTTGTGAAGGTTTTTTTTTTTTGTTTTTTTTGTTTTTTGTTTTTTTTTTCTGGAATAGTTCTGATTCAAGTTAACTAGAGTTATGGGAATGAAAATAATTTCTGTCAAAATGATCAAACTAGATTAGAGTGCTGAAATCAGCCTTTGCATAAAATGAGAGGCTTAAACCTTTAATCCCGCCTCACATGATGCTATCATAAAATGCCTAAAAATGCACACCCTAAATGCCAGAGGCATGCTGATGGAGATCAGGATAAGAATGAATATAGAAATAGATATTAATTAGGATTTTATAATAAGAGTTTGATTTAAAGTATATTTCTATTAGATTTGATTAGATTAGTTTTGATATTTTGATCCAATTATAGTTTATTAGGAGTTTGTTTCCTTTTTAAATTCTTAGTTGATTTGTTCTATAAATAGAGGGGGTTATTCGTTATATTTCACAACAAGATTATATGAATAAAAAGTGAATTTCATCTTGTCCTCAATTCTTCTCTTCTTTGCACCCCTTTCTCTTTTGGTTCCTAATTGTTCATTGTCAAATTATACGTATCCTGCCTTCCATTTACTGAGGCTTAAACCTTCACTTAGTGAGGCTTACAGCCTTAAGTTTGAGCCTCAAACCAACTTAGACGTTCGCTCATTTGCCTCGAATTTTTCAAACATATAACTTTTGGACTTAGTCTTTCGAGCTAATTCTTTATAACCTAAATTGTTCGACAAGTTCTTTTATTTTCATTTTTTTCCATACACGTCAGGAAATTGGAAAGCACAATACACCATTCCAAATAGAGGTAAATCATCAAGCAAGAAAAAAAAAGCTAACAATGGAGATGATGATTATGATGTTAATGATTCATTTAAAGATCATACTAGTAGTAATGATATATGATCTTTTTGAGTAGTCTTCACTTTTAGTATTAGATTATAATTTTGTTACATTATTACTAATTTGAAAAATTACTGTTTTCTATTTTCTTGATCTATCTAATGTTTGCAATTTAGACTTCTAATTTTGCTAACTAGTTTTATTATGGATATTTAAAGAGGGCTTATGGTATATTATGAGCATATTTTGATATTCTTTTGAATTCTTTTACTGATCTATCATGAGGCTAAAGCCTCAAAGCGCCTTGAGGCTTACGATGTGCCTCACGGTGATAAAACACCTTAATAACCGATTAAACATTTTTAACATTGGAAATTAGAGAAAAGTAGATTAAGAAAACAGGAGAATTTACAGTTATAGATGTATGGAAAATCAAAAAGAAAGCATCAAGAAATTTTCAATAATATAATTATTAAAGTAAGGAGAAAGCCCGTTCAACAACTAATATTTCTCCAAGACTCCAACTATAATACTTTATACAACTCTCACTTAGAATTCTACTAATTAATTCTAATTTCTTCTCAATTACTAAGGACCATAAATGAAATTCTTCTCAAATTTAAAATTTTATGACAAATCTACGAATTGAGACTCCTAAAACCTGTAGAAAGAAAGATTTAAACCGATTAATAGCCTACTAATTATAATAACCACATAATTTACTACTAGCACTTCTTTTCTAACCAAAATAGCTCCTTGCTTTCAAGGTCCACAGCTATTTACGCCTAGAAATTCGATAACTGTTCAACAAACTAATTGCTTCAGTATCACCAAGAAACACCCAAAATTTGCCAAATACATCTTCTTCAATATAGAATTTTGTGTTTCCCAATAAAATTGTTTCCCAGTAAAATTAATCAATGAGAAAGGATACTTGACTTGTCTGAGGAATCTGGTAACTGATTGCCAGGATAAATATCAAGCATCTTTTGTATGACCTATACACCATCATTTCAACATTGGATTGCTCTACTAGTAATTTGTACCTGTTATTTTCTTTCATTTATCATTTTTGGCAATCATCTAAGAAGTGGGGTACGGTGGACAATAAAAGTTGGTGGGATGTCCAAAGAAAAGTGAGATGCCAGTCCTTTTTCGTGCAGTAAATCTATACCACTCACAAGCTCAAATCAACAATGGATGCTGAGTTATTGATTTCATACACATAGCTACAGGCTTGTAATATAAGGGATGCTATATACACATATTAGATGAATCTACAAGTCACGTCATAACCCTACACTGAGTTTAAAATTATATCCCTGTTTCATTAAACAATATTCTATTTACTTGATGGAAGTGATCACTCAGCCCTCTTTTGATGGACTTGTTCAAGACCTATATGTATATTTCTAAATTATTTCTAGATTATAATTGTAATGGAGGTAGTACTACCCATGTTTATTGCTTTTCAAATAATTCTATCTCCTCCTCTTGATGTATCTTCCGGAGGTAAGGTATTGAAAGTCCCCCTCCTGCTTGTAACACTCTTCATTATTATAAATAAAGAAGGTCGGTGAATCCAAACCCCCATTGAGTTTGGGTGGAGAGTAAAAACCCTGCTTACGTCTTGATGGTATTTCGGATTAAAAAAGAAGAAGAAGCAGCAGCAATATTCTATTTTAGAACTCCATAATGAAACATAGATTTCAAATTTTAGAGTTTGGGTGGAGCGTAAAAACCCCGCCTAGGTCTTGATGGTATTTGAGATTAAAAAGAAAAAAGAAAGAAGCAGCAGCAGTTATATTCTATTATAAAACTCCATAGTACATGTAGATTTAAATTTTTAGCCAAAAAACAAGGGTATGAAAAAATAAAAACAGACAACGTCTGGCTAATGCAGATATTTCCAATGTAGAATTAGTCCAGGTAATTGCAATATGTGTTATGTTATTACAGGAACTTGATGTAGTTCTAGTATTCTGGTGGATCATACGTAGTCCATATACACGTAAATACCAACGTTAAGAAACAAAGCCATAAGTCACTCACCAACACCATAGCCAACTGTCAGCCAAAGGAAGTACCCATTTAGTCTCCCCTTCTTATTTGCTTTGTCGAATCTGCAACAAACATCCATTAGATATGAGAGCAGAAATAAATCTGTATTTCTGTGTTTTAATTCATAATATAAACCTCAATTATATAGTACAATGAAGAGAAGAAAAAAGGAAAAAATCTCCCAAATTAGGAGAAGAAAATTAGTCCTAAATTAACAATCTTAATTATAGCAAGTCAAAATAAGGCAATGTGAAATATGGTAATTTGTGGATTCTTCAAGATTTCTCACAATATACTTTATTAATCAACTACAATAGTTGAACACCAAAAAGTATTAATTTATTCAATATTAATATCTTTATTTAATCTCTTTTCTTATTTAAGCAGTCGATATTCCTAAGACGGCTTTACTATGTCACTGCTGAAATGAATTAAAATTTAATTTAAAAAAGATGATCTACATGACAAGGAAAATGTATATATAAGCATATTTTAAGTGTACAGTCACAAATTCACTTCAAAGATTCAGTGCATATGTGATATCAATTAGAAATGGATGTGTATATTTCAAAAAGGATGTCAGGTTTAAATATTAATATACCATCAATGCTATAAAAGATACCTATTTGCAAAAGATACAAGCAAACCAGGGAATAGGATGTCCCCAAAGCCTATCATGTCATAACCATTCCAAGGATCAGAAGTTCGAGGAACTCTCAGAAGCATGGGGATGGATTCTCCACCACTTTTACTACCTTTAGCAACCTAAAGAAGGAATAATATCATGTTCAGAAAATAGAACAGGAACTGGAATAGAAATACCTACAATGTTTTTCCAAAACCAGTCAATAACAACTTTAAATCAGTCCATGACATTAAGCCCCCGTTTGGCCCCCATTTTGTTAAAATGAAAATGGGTGGAATAATATTTTTTTGAAAAATGAGTGGTTGAAAAAGAAGGAAAAATTTTCGATTTATGTGTAATATTATTTTATGGAAGATTGTGTAGTTAAAAATAAGAAAGAGAAAAATGAAATGTAATGGAATGAAAATTAATGGGGATCAAACGGGAGCTAAAACACTTGGGAAAAACTTCACTTGGAAGACAGACTACGTAAAATGCAAAAGCAATCCATAGGGAAGCAGACATTGTTGAGGACATTACTTAAATGAGATAAATGTGGGCTCTCTAATTGCTAAAGCTTTTAGATAAAATTGTTCAACATGGCATTAAAGAAGACAAAGGTCACGAGTTCAATTCTAGCCCCTACAAATTAAATGAAATTGTGCACGTGACAAGCCTTGATGGCTCTCTAATGCCATTAGCATTTAGATCAAGTGGTTCAACATACAACAGACATATCCACAAATCACTCTGTATGTAATATGCATGCCCGAACTTCTTAGACCTCATACAGTACAAGATCTGCAGTAAGTCCCAATGCAGTGAGGATAAATCACTAAACCAACTTTACCAAGTCCAAATGAAAGCAGGGAGAATAAAGTTGAATATTTACTTACGTTTGTCATAGTTAAGATTATCTCAATTGTAGCAAATTGGCACAATTCCCAACAAAAGAAAACAATTAAAATTGATCAAGATGAACTTCCTCCAGTAGAAGGTTAAGATAAAGTTGATAGAGAATGTGTAAATTATCATATAAACAAATTTGTATTTGAAGTGTCAAACACAAGAACAAAGACATGCCATGTCAGGTGTGAAGAAGGAAGAGGAGGAGAGGGAGGAGAGAGAGAGAGGCAATGCCTATTTTCAGCATAGGTGAAACCTTGATTAGACAGCATAGAGAAGAAAAGGAGGGTCAAGGGATTGCTGATATACATATAACATGATTATATTTTTCGAACAATATTTGATAATGCATTTAAAACAATGTATTGCGCAAAAAAAGATGCCTTCAGTAGATGCTTTAATAAATAGCGTACCTTTCATCTAGATATCAATTTATTAATTGATTTAATGCAAACATCTTGGGGCATAATTCATGTGGGAATAATAATCTGCAATTGAAAAGTTCTAAAATATATAGGTGTGATTGCCAAAAAGAATAAAGTTTCTGGTCATAGAATCTCATAAAATATCTGTTGCAAACTTTTTCTTATCCTCTCAACTCCTGAAATATTTTATTCTTCCTACAGGTCATTGTTTGACAGGGATGATTAGACTGATGGAACTCGTAGATATCCATTCTAAAAGTTTGTTTTCATTTTATTCTACTGATCATTATTTTTTTTTAGTTTCTTTCACTTAACTTTTGCCTATTAGTTTTAATCCAAACTAAGGAATGGAATGTACAGCCCTGAAGTACAGGTATTTTGAATTTTCAAGCAAGATTGAAGTTTGAAGGCCAAATATTATAGGAAGTGGCTTCTGCTTGGAAAAACTGAATGCTGCTTAACATTACAGAAAAAGGATAGACGGAGAATTGAAGAAAAAAATACTCACCTCAATCATAACGCTGTCATGGAATATAAAAGGAGATAGGAAAACCCAGAAGATGTCGTAAAGAAATGCACAACACAGAAGTACTGTAGCAACCTAGAGACAAAAGCAATTATAAGTGGACAACACAAAAAGTTAGTCATGTAAAGATCAAGTATGATCACTCCAGATACCTTAATGTTTGGTAATTGAGCCAATTGCAAGACAGTTATCATCAAACAAATACCCTGACACAGACACCATCAATAATCAAAAACAGAATTTTATGAAAAATGATCCCCAAAGAAGGAATGGTGCAAGGGCTGATTAAAAATTGTTGAATAAATAGTCAAAATGCCATACATAGCAAAAACTGGTTGTTTAATGGATGAAATGAATTAAGAAAAAAATCAAATCTCACTATAATAGCATTAAATGAAATTTTGTTGCCATGACACAACAAAAATAACATCCTCATGAGCATCACAAAACATAACAAATGGAAGCAGGCAGTTATGGCCATCTTTAGTTCCTTATGGGTTACTACTCCCAGCTTCTCCTTTCTTCCATATGGATTTGAGCATCCCCCCCCCCCAACCCCCCAAACACAAAAAATCTATTAGCGGAGTTTGAAAACAACTAAATTTTGAGTGTAATTTGTGATGCTTAACTGCCATTATATATATATATATATATATATATATATATATATATATATATATTC